TGGGAATATACCCAGAGGAATGGAAATCATCAAGTCAAAGGTATACCTGTTGTCCAATGTTCATTGCAGCACTCTTCACAATAGCTAAGAGTTGGAACCAGCCCAAATGTCCATCATCAGATGAGTGGATACGGAAAATGTGGTATATCTGCAGAATGGAATACTACTCAGCTATAAAAAAGAATGAAATACTGCCATTTGCAGCAACATGGATGGACCTAGAGAGAATTATATTAAGTGAAATGAGTTAGGCAGAGAAAGCGAAATATCACATGTTCTCATTTATTTGTGGGAGCTAAAAATAAATAAATAAATACACAAATAAACTCGGGTGGGGGAGGGAAGAAGACACAACAATTACAATTCCTTGAAGTTGATACGACAAGTGAACAGGTATGAGGTTGTTTGGAGGGAGTGGGGAGAGGGAGGTGGGAGGGAGGTTTCGGTAATGGGCCACAATAATCAACCACATTGTATATTGACAAAATAAAATTAAATTAAAAAGAAAAAGAAATAATTTACATGAAATAAATAACCTGAGTATAATTGAAGAAATAAAATATATTTTAAATGTTATAAAAATATTATAAAATCAAGTAGAATATCATGTGAATTCTTAAAGAAAATGATTAGCATTTTGTTACAGCTGAAGCCTTCTTTGCTCTGATTATTTTCAAATCAGGTTGTCACTAATTTTTCTTTTTTAATATTATGGTATATTGTATCTCAAATACCATTTTTATATGTATATTAGTACTACTGAGTAACATAAAGACTTGAATAAATACAAAATTTTACCTTGTTCTTCAATAGAAAGATTCAATACTACAGAGACAACCTTTTTCTCTTAACCTATAAATGCAGCGTAATCCCTATCAAAATACCAATAAGTTATCTTGGAGTCTTTTTTACCTTGACAAAATGATGCTAACGTTCACCTGAAGAGTGAACATGTGAGAATGGACAGAAATTTTCTGAAGAAGAAGAAAAATGAGAGGGGTCTCATTCCACCAGATATGAAAATATATTTGAAATATATTGTGAAGTTACAGTGATTAAAATACGGTGGCACTGGTACTGGTATAGACATTCAGTTGGATGGAACAGAACAGTTGATCCCTTTCTGAAACCCTACTCTGAAATAAATTCTAGACATATCAAAGATTTCATTGTATAACTGAACCTATGAAAGTAGCAGAAAATGTGGATGAATCACTTTTAATATGTAAAGTTGGAGTGGGCAAATTCTTTCTACAGCATCAGACAAAACTCAGAAGCCAGAAAGGAAATGACTGATAAACTTGAACACATGATAGTTCAAATGAAAATTCTCTTTGTGTATACCACAAGCAAAGTCAAAAGACAGCTAACAGGTGTGGGGAACATTTGTGCAAATACATGTGTGATAAGAATGTTTATTTCAGTACTAATTATAATAACAAAAATTGGAAAAAGTAAGAGCCATGAAGAGGGGCCTGATTAAATAAATTCTGGCGTATCCATAAAAATTCTGAGGTGTCCATGAAATATACCCAAAAATATATAAATATTTCACGTTTTAGACTTAGTTACAATAATGAAATGGAGGGTAATGAAACAAGCACTGAAAATGTAGATAAGATTACAAAATTTAGCAAATAAAAATAACGGATGCCCAGTTAAGTTTGAGTTTCAGATAAACAACAAATACATTTTTTTAGTATAGGTATATTGCACATACTTACTGGGAACATACTTATGCCAAAAAGTTATTGTTTGCTTATTTAAAATTAAAATAGGATCACCTGCACTTTATCTGGCAGTCATTCATACATACCATATGAAATTATTATACATTCTAAAATAACCTCAAATTCAATAGTACAGATTAGAACTTCCAAGTATTGGCTAGAACTTCATTCTATAAGATTTTGTATTTTAAGTGAAATTGTTTCATATTTGAAAGTTTTATTTCCCTCAGATTCTAAATTCTAATCTACTCAATGGATTATATTCTAATTTACTCTATATGGTATATTTATTGTTAGCAAGATCTCAATAAATCTTAGACATTATATACACAGTAGAGGTGACTACTTACTTATGCTCAGATGATGCAAATGTTTTACCCAAAAAAGCCAACACCTTTACATAGCTTACTGGAAAGAGATTCTGGATAAAATCCAGCTGTGGGATTCAGGCAAATTTTTGCTATAACATAATATTCTATGCCCTGATTTTCCCAGGCATGGTGCAATCGATTTTATTTTAAAAGCCATCTGCTGCCTTAATAACATCAGTTTTTTAAGACCCTGCTGGATTTGATAGGCTAACTTTTAATTTCTTCAGGTTTCAGTTTCCTGTTGCAAAGCCTGAGTCAGGAGGTGTTGCCTCTAATTTTGTGTTCTGGAACACTTGAGAGAGCACAGGGATGATTTGTTCTGTGGAAGTTTGACAGACCATCTCCCATCTCCGAGGGTCTACATTTTTGTTTTCTATCCTTACGGCTTTTTAATTTTTTGCCATGGTTGAATCAGGTCTTCTACTTGTTCGTAAGCCAATTTTGATAATTTTGGGAGTTCTTTGTTTATGTGCAATGGTCTTTCAAAGCCACAAAATACAATATTTCTTATGATATACTTTTTAGTATTATATATCCTATACTTCAAGATTACTTTTTATGTTTGATTTCTTTTATAATCATACTAACAATGATTTAGACAATGCTATATTGTACTGGTTGGTTTTTTATTTCATGCTCGCACCAATTTTGGCTAACTTGTCTGTGAGCTGAGTCAACGTGTGCTGTTATTTTTAGACAAGCGAGAGATGTTGTGATTCGGTGCAGGGTGACTAGCCGCAGCACCTCCTAGGCTTGGCCAGTCACCAATTCTGTGCCCTAGGACAGGTTTGTCATCCTCTTTCTGCCTCAGTTTTCTTATCTGAAAACAAAACAAAGGCTTCTTCACAGGATTGTTGTGAAGATTAGAGAAGTTAATATAAAGGGTTGAGAACTACTAAGTGCCTATACTGAGTGTTACAGAAGTGGCCTTTTTGTTTTAGTTTTGTGTGCTTTACTTAGAAAAACTTTCTGTTTCTCTTGGATATGAATGAACGTTTGGGCAGCTCTAGAATTCTTGGATCACAGCCTTTAATTCTGAAATTTCTGCACATGTTGCACTGCTGGCTTCTAACATTTTATTTTCAGAAAAGTCTGATGTTAAACTGAATTTTTATTTCTCTGTTAGTAACTTTTTTTTCTGTCTGGTTTATGGTATGTTTTTTTTCACTTTTGAAATAATATTTTACAAATCACCCAGATGCATCTGGTGTTGTCTGTTTTCCTAATTTTCTCTGGTAAACAGCAATCTCTGCAATTTTAGACATGAATATTTCTTTTGCTTATTAAAGAACTGTGTGATTTGTTTGTTTGTTTAATCCTGTCTGCTCTTTTATATGCTTGTACCTTGAATTCTGAAATTTCTGCACATGTTGCACTGCTGGCTTCTAACATTTTATTTTCAGAAAAGTCTCATGTTAAACTGAATTTTTATTTCTCTGTTAGTAACTTTTTTTTTCTGTCTGGTTTATAGTATGTTTTTTTTCACTTTTGAAATAATATTTTAAAAATCACCCAGATGCATCTGGTGTTGTCTGTTTTCCTAATTTTCTCTGGTAAACAGCAATCTCTGCATTTTTAGACATGAATATTTCTTTTGCTTATTAAAGAACTGTGTGATTTGTTTGTTTGTTTAATCCTTTCTGCTCTTTTATATGCTTGTACCTTGGGGATTTGTCCTAAAATTTGTCCTACTTGTCTGTTATCTTTTCTCTGAGTTCTGGAAGATTTTCTTGAGCTTATTTTCCACTTATATTCAGTTTGTTTCAGTATCCAGTGGGCTGTTCTCTGTCACCATTTGTAATATTTGCACTGTTAAATTTTTATTCTGTACCTTTTGTTATATTTTCTTTGTGAATTATTCTCCATTCTTCCTAATTATCTTTGAGATGGCTACAATTATAAATTCAGGTCTCCAGTTCTGCTATGAGCTTGGAACTGTATTAGATTACAAAGTTATAAAAAAAATATGGGGAACACAAGTCACTTCCTCAATGTGCTCATTTAGTAGAATCAGCAGAAAATACTTTCAAGGTTGTCATAAGTTCATTAATAATGGTACGAGCAGGTTACAAAGAAAGTGATAATGCATGTTGGAGGGCGGGGTACAGTGTATGAATCATTGAGAAAGTGATGACTTTTGGAATTTGAAGAATAGAGACTTATCAGGTATATTAGAATGTAATGAAATAAGAAGTCAATGGCTTCACACCCAAGCTTAGTCAGACAATAAAGATGCTGTTCTGATCACTCTGGCAAGGAAAAATCGTGAAGGTGATTTTTTCTCTTTCTCTCTTTGTCTGTCAAACAACACATAAGCCAGTCCTTTCAAATAAGAAATATACTTACTGAAATAGGCAACAGTGCCAGGAGCTCTGGAATGTTCCTGGTTAGGAAAGATTTTCCCATTTGGTGCTTTAGGAATTTAGTGATTTATAGTATAGGCTTCTCCTCATTGTAAAACAGATAATTAAGAATAACCTTGCTCCTATTAGGAACAAGTATTCTTGAGGTATTTATTTCCTTATTTGTTGGTCAAAAGAATAAGAATCCTTGGGATAGACAGAAAAGTGGGATTAATTATAACTCATGAAGTTAATTATTATAGTTAAAATTAAAGATCCATGCAACCATTTGGGGCTTTATCTAATGATAAGTAGAAAATTTTTTGGTGGTTATGCCTTTTCTTTATGAATAATTACTTATACCTTTTAAAGTGCAAATGGATGTATTTGAAATATAATTTTGATACCAATTTCTGTTAAATTCTTCATAGGCTTTTCCTTATTTTGTTAATGTTAATAACTGTAAACAAAGAACACATGTTATATATGCATTTGTATCATTTAAGAAATTTATTTTTGAATACATATTTTTATACTTGGATTTTTTTTCCAGATAACTTCTGAAGGAAAAAATCAAGCTTTCAGTATTGAAAGCCGAACTCTTTTCTATGAGATTCTTTGTGCTCTTGTTAACCCAAAGCGCAAGGACACTAGGGGATTCAGCCACTTTACTGAAGTGACTGAGAATTTTGCCTTTTCTCTGCTGACTGATGTTACCTGTGGCTCTCCTGGTGAAAAGTAAGTGTCTTTTAATATATTAGTAATACCTTATGTATATTTCTTCACTGTTTACAATGCCATTTGTAATGCAAATTGACATTCAGATGATGTAACTAAGAATTATATGGTTGATGCATTGTACTTATTGGGTAAATGAAGTTAATTATTTGAAGAAAACATAGCAGCTACATCAAGAAAAATAAGGTGGTTGAAACCTTTTAGGAGTGCTTTGATGTGCTATTAATTGTGCTTCTCCCTAGAGTTGTGATTGTTTCATCCATTGGAGGTGGCTCTCAGTGTTGTTATTTCATGGCAGAAAGCCAGCAAGAGGAAAAGGAAAAAATAAAATGTGGCTCATGTTCATTATTAACTTATGATTAGTTTTATTACTGTATGTTAATAGTCTTCAGATGCCATGGTATCATAAATTATATTCATAAGATGAATTGGATCATTGTAGTACAAAGACCAAAAAGTGTTTTATTTCCATTTAACATAAAAATGGCTAATAATAGAACATGGTTGGAAATTGAGACTCCTCCCAATTCTCACAGAAATGTATGTTATCTAAAAAGCAATGATTGTTATATGACTATTATTTAATGGGATGTGTATGGTTAAAAGTGTTTATAAAAATCTCCATAGATTTTATTATTCACTCAATAAATGCTGTCATCAGTGTTCATTAAGTCACATGAAATTCAAAGACATTTTGAAGACTACATTTAAAAAAATCTATAGTAATTTAAGTTATATCTTTATGGGGCTCTACATGAGCTCTACAGGTTAATTAAGAAATCAGTTGGATATGTAAAACTTTTGTTTTGTTTTTTAAAACTTTTAATGATAGTTCTTTGATGAAAATACACATGAAAATCCAAAGAGGTAGTCAATCCATATATAAAAGGATTACAAGAAAGAACAAGATATAAAATAATAATAATAATAGTATAAATTATATTAACTGTACTTCTGCTATAATCCTGACATTGTATTAAATTGAACAATATGAATCACATCTTTTGTAGGTAAAAACAGCATAATATTGAAAATTTCATATGTTTCGACCTAATCCTTGCTACAAATTGTACATACATTATTTTATCTTTACAAAAGATCATTTTAAGTAGCTATACAGTATTAGAGTTAAGGTTTTTGTTATTCTTATTTTCAGAAGTGGAAACTGAGGCTAGGGACCTTACACAGTGTATTTGTCCATTTCTGTTGCTTATAACAAAATAATGGAACTGGGTAATTTGTAGGAAAATGTAATTTATTGCTTACAGTTTTTGAGGCTGGGAAGTCCAAAGTCCATGGAACATATCTTGTGAAGGACTTCCTTGGTGGTGGCTTCAGCTACATAGGATATTATATTGCGAGATGGCAGAAGCAGAGAGAGAAAAAGTCTTCATGTGTTTTCCTTTTAAAGCCCTCAGAACCACTCCCCTGACCACCATTCACTACGGCATGGTCCTATAGTCTAATCACCTCTTCAAGGCCCCACCTTTCAATTACCATAATAGGATTTCTCACCCTCCACAACAGTTACAGTGGGGATTAAGTCTCAGTGAGGTGGCGGGGGAGGCATCCAATCTACAGCACACAGCTTACCAAGAACCACACAATTAGTCCATGGTGAAGCTTGCACTCAAATCTCAGGCCTACTTGACTCCATAAGCCATGCTGGCCACCATACCATGTTGTCAGAAGAGATTGTAATCACCAGCTTTGTAAAAAAACCATCCCCTAAAGCCTTATGGCTCCAGAGTGCTCCAGACTTTTGTTCCAGATCAGTGCCAGGATGTCACTTGAGGTTAAGGTACAGAACCAACATTCCCTTACATTGTACTCTTCCTTTAACCCTGATCTGTGAATCCTCGGGATTGAGGTTTTCTTAATGTGGCAAATCAGCAAAGTATCAGAAAAGCCTCCCATGCCCTTTCAGGAAGCCCCTTCTCCAGTCCTCAACACTGCTCCTAAACATCCATCTGAGACCAATGGTTAGGAGTTCAGCTCCTTAGTGCCTTTTATAAATGTCTTCAGAAACCTGTGAAATGGATCATTTATTTGGGTGAAATAAGTTTGCACTGAGACTGACCACAGTGTATGTGTGTGTTTATGTGTATAGTCAAGAAATATCTGCCATTGCTTTTCTCCTTTTGAACTATGTTCAACTGTGTTGTTCAATGAAATCAAATAGTTCATAGCTTTGCATTCCCATAACCCCATTCTTCTCCACTTGTTTTTCCATATTTCTGCAAGATCAGCAGGACATTGAGGTTGTCTTAGAAGTGAACCATTTTCCCTGCTGTGAATGTTGAGTCCCATATCTGTGCTCTCAAAGGCCAAGAGAAATCTCAAAAGAGCATAAAATGCAAAAAAAGAGTGTCCTTTTCTGTCTTGTTGCCTAAAGTATTTATAGGGCCTAGAACAGTGTCTGCCACATGGTAGATTCTCAATGGTTATGGTATAATGAGTGAAGAAAATGAATAAAGGAATTAATGTGTTTTCTGCCATGTACTTTCTCTAAGTAGACTTGCCTTTCATTTTGAGTTGTGCAGGAAGAGAAAACATTGTGTGCAACAGCAGTCGGGCAAGAAATAGCATGATGTGTTTGTAGAGAGATCATTTTTTTACAGGTTGAACATAGAGTAAGCTAGGTAGGGTGTGTGTGTATGTGTATGTATGTGTGAGAGAGAGAGATAAGAAGAAATCAGACAGGATTTTAGAGACATTATGTTGAGAAGAGTGTTAAATAAAGAATAGGGCAAAGCAAGGCATAGGAAGACTACATGGGGATAAGGCAAGAGAAGATAAGGGCTAAAATTAGGCACAGGCATGGGAGGGTGGTACCTTGAAAATAATTAGGTGGTAGAATTAACATGATAGTGACAAACTGAACATAGACTATAAGAGATCAAAACTAGTTTTTTTACTCAGGAAACTTTAAAGATGTTGATCATTATTTATACATTGCCTTAAGCAATAGGAAGGACATCTCCTGAGAGTGAAGGATTTGGGAATAGGGCAAGGATATTGAGGAGAATAATGGAGTCTAGAACAATCAATTGGAAGCCAAGTAAAAACCATGGCAAGTGGCATTGAAGAGCTCACTGAGGTTGGTCGGCATGGATTTGTAGTAATGCTAACCTACATGCTAATGTGTGGGTTCCCTTCTCTCTTTAGCGTAGGTATAAAGCAGATTGTGGGATTGATCAAGGTGAGTACATTTGAAGGGCACAGATGTGGGAGGTTAAGGTATCAGGGAGCATGTAGTTATTGATAAGTAAGAGGGGCCAGAAATTTGGCACACTGGTGTCAAGTTTGGTTAGAGTCACTGCATGTAGTATTGGTCTTAGTTTGCCAATATAGTGGAGTTCATGATGGCACTAACTGGACTGAATCTCACTAGATTCCCGGGGGGGAATGGGGAAGGGGGCGTGCATCCATGTGGCTGAGGTTCACTGGTCTCAGCCACTTTGTGCTTGGTCAGTGGATCTTCAGTGGCAGATTTAGGCACCTGTGAAGATATGGAAAGCTGGATGGAGAGATTAAGAGATGAGTTTTTGACACACTGTTGTGGAGGTATGTGTGGCCCACACAAATTGAGGTGTTTCAGTAGGAGGCTTGGACATAGGGACCCAGATCCCTGTATGAATGAGTGGATTAAAGATAGATATATGAAGGCTCCAATTGAAATAAGGTGGTTAAAGTCATGGAAAATATTTTTTTGTAGGGAAGGTGTATAACTAGGGGAAAAAGTTAGCCCCTACCCTTTCCTTTTTTTCTTACATCTTCCATTTAAAATTATCTGCTCCATTTGGGGATCTTGACAAGGTATCATTTAGATCCATGACCTAATTATACATAACTCTACATTTGTTGTGGCACATATAACGTTGCACATTTAATGTGTAAATCTTACTCTAATATACCAATATTCTCTAAACTTTTATGGGCCAGTTTCAGATCTGATTTATCTTTGTATATCATCATTACCTGCAAACATGATGTGTCAGTCCACGAATAGGTTGCATCAGATTCTCTGGAGTACTGGTTGCAAATACAAATTCCTAGAACCCCCTCCCTGAGTAAGGATTCTGATTTATTGAGTCTGGGGTGTAATGTAGAACTCTGTACTCAAAAACAGGCTTCCAAGTGATTTCAACACATACAGTTTAGGAAGCAATTTCACAGAGTACATGACGTTATTATGCCTAGGAGATCTTCAAAACAATTGTTAAATGAATAACAATCACTGTTCAGGGCTTTTTTTTTTTTTTTTTTTTTAAACCAGTCAAATGGTTATATTAGCAATGCTCTGATAGGTTAGAAAAGTGTGACATAAACTCTTGATGAAAACAAGGCTCTAGATACATACAGTTTATGATATTCTTAAATAAAGCAGAAGGTTTCAGTTTAGTGGGGGACACCCTTTCCTCAACCATATTCCACCAATGCTGATGTGACTAACACAGAAAAGTGCATTTTATAGCCATAGATTATATTTTGATATCCGTAGAACAGCTTTCAAAAACCCATGTTTTAGGTTACAAGGAGGACCAGGTAAGAGGATGCAGAAAGTTCTGTGCAAAAATGTCACAACAGTTAACCATAAAAGAACTGAAGGCATATGCTATCAAATAATTTTGGATTGGTAGTGTCATCATCATATGTAAAGAACAGAGTTCCATTGTAGTTAACAAATATAAGAGGAAATACGTATGCAAGCACATGCCATTTTAACAAACCTTTGCTTTTCTGTTGTAGAAGCAAAACCATCCTTGACAATTGCCCGTATTTGTCAATATTGGCTCTTCACTGGTATCCTCAGCAGATCAATGGGCATAAGTTTGAAGGAAAGGAAGGTGATTATATTCGGATTCCAGAGAGGTTATTGGATGTCCCAGATGCAGAAATGATGGCTGGGAAAAATACATGTAAATTAGTCCAGTTTACAGAGTATAGCAGCCAGCAGTGGTTTATAACTGGAAACAGTCCTCCTGCCCTGAAAAATAAGGTAATTTATCATTTAAAAAATTATGTGTTTAGAATCTGGTTTTTCCTTAGCAGACACCCTCCAGATGCATTTGTTTGATAAGATTTTTGGTCAGTGCTATACAGGGTAAACTAATATGAAGCGTGTTTCATCTTTAGGAGCTATTTTCAGTTTGCTTTCAAAATAGTTGGAAATATTTCCTTCATGTTATATTGAGTAAAATATATGTAAAAGTGGAGAAAGTGAAAAAATATAGCTTTCGCTAGCATAGTATCCTATTATATACCTCATCTTGATGAAGTCAGCTACTTGTAGTCAAAGTGGGTGTTGTCAGCTGAAAATTGCTGAGTGACTGACTGACGTGGAAGGAGAATGTGCACAGAGGAAAGCCAGGCAGATATCCTTCATTCATAAGTCAGCTAACTATTAATAATGGAAGGAAACAAGTGACTACAGTCACTTGAAAATGTGATACAGAAAAATGAAGTCAAGTTCAGAGTGGGAGACTTAGTCATAATACCAATTGGAAAAATGTCATTAAATTTGCTGTTCCTTTTGACATTATAGGTGTTGTCTTTGAGTGTGAAAGGTCAGAGTTCACAACTCCTGACTAACAACAATGAGGTTCTCTACAGGATTTATGCTGTTGAGCCTAGAATTGTTCCTCAGACTTCTCTGTGTCTCCTATGGAATCAGGCTGCTGCAAGGTACTTATTAATAATTGTTTAAAATCCGAGTTTTGTCCTTCCCCATTCAAGGACCACAAGGCCTTATTTTTTTGTACTGAACATAGATGGTGGTTTTAGGTGAGACTTTAGACTGGAGAATTACCTCTGCAATAAATAGGACCAAGCAGCATAGAAAATCTAGCATTGTTGAGATGACAAATGCAGCCAATCAATTTAAATATGTGTGTGGCATATTATTTACTTCATTATCACTACTTTTTGGGGTTGTAGCTTGAGTTCTACTCAGTTCAGATAATCTTCTCGAAGTTATTGGTTAGTTTGTTGGGCGGGAAAGGAACCTCCTTTTTTACCCCTTCCATCTGGGCTTATGGTTGTGGAACTGATGCTGCATGTTTATAGGTATCGGCAGGGATTTACAGTTGTAGTCCACAAACGGCCTGGAGCACATTTTGGGGTTAAAGCCATGCATAGGAAGGGGAAGGAGAGTGATTCTTTCCTTGAATCTCCTTGGCCTAAATTTTCTGAGCACTTACTCTCACTTGGAGCTCAATCAGTGC